AGAAGGCAATACAGACTGGTTCAAAGTATATCCCCTCCTGTTTGTAATATATATGGGCACAATAACGCAAGACGCAAACCAAAGCCCAGAAAGCCTAAATGAACTTCTATTCGCAGACGACCAGTGTCTTACTCATCCAAACCAACAGAACCTCCAAAATCACACTACCGAACTGAACAAGAGCTGCGAAAAATTTAACATGAAAATAAGCACATAAAAAAACAGAAGTTATGAAAGTGAGCCGAAACCGTAGTCCCCTGAACTTCCACGTCAATAGTAAACAGCTGGAACAGGTGGAGAAATGTAAATGTCTTGGCAGCACTTTTTCTGAAAACGGGGCCAAAGACAGAGAAATAGAAATGCGAACCCCCAAAAGCCAATGCTGTCACCTACCAGCTCGCACCCCTCCTATCTCATCCAAACATCTCCATGGACACAAAGAGACAGCTTATCACCTCAATATTCATACCAACATTATGCTACCAATGCCAGACCTGGACATTAAGTAAAACCCATGAAAGCAAAATCACCGCATGCGAAATGAAATGTCTCATCAAAACCCTTAACACCACAAGAGGAGACAGGAAGAGAAATGAAGAAGTACGAGCAGCTATCGGCATTGAGTCCTGCCTGCAGTACGTAGAAAGACAGAGAACACAATGGTTTGGCCACGTTTTACGTATATCACCTGGCCAACCAGTCTCGAGAGCCTACAACACCAAGCACTCAGGCTATAAAGGAAGAGGAAGGCCACGCAAAAGGTGGATCGAGGGCGTTAAGGAAACCCTGAGAAAACATATCAAAACTGAAAGAGCTGCGGAGCTGGCCTACCATAGAAAACTGTACCTCAATTCGACGCTTTACGGCAACTGGTGGTGAAAAAGTAGAGGTAAAAAGTAAAAGTAATAACAATAATGCTAACAAAAAAGAACGATGAACATAAATTAAACAACAGCCGAAGCAGCAATGGCAACCACAACAACAACAACAACAAGAACGACACAATAAAGATATATTTTGTTCAAATTTATTCCTCAAAGCGATATTACTGCATCCCAAATGAAATTAATGTGTCTGCAAAACATCCCACGAAAGAACAAACCGTGTAAGGAAGACGTAATGAAGACCAGCGGCTGTTCGTCAGCTTGATTTCCTGACTGTATTTCATTAGAAAACGGGTGATCGATATCATCATTATTACTGTTATTATGGTTTGGTGGCAACCTGTTACGAATAGAACCAGAACCGGGAACGCGAGTACGCTTAACACGAACAGCGAGTACGCTTAACACGAACAGCGAGTACGCAGGCTACAGAGAGAGAGAGAGAGA